GGTCCTGGCTCGGCGAGACTGACCTCTTCGCATACCCATTTTGATACATTTTTTAAGACGACAATACTGGCATTTATTACGAGTGAACAGATTGATCACACAGTTTTTACTGAAATTGCACCGAAACTCTTTGTCGTGACTACGACGAAAAAAACCCTGCAATAGTGATGAACTATGAATCGAACCGTATAAAATTACAACAATCGTTTGTAATTCGCAGTATCTACTTCAAGGTATGAAATATGATGCTAGAGTAACCATAGAATAATTAATGTGAAAAACTACCTTGCAACCCTCACATGAAATAATTCCATAATGCAGCCCTGTTGACTTGTCGCCACAAACTTTACACGGCGGAAATTTGAGTTCTGAAAAAATTAAACCTCTTCTTTCATCAGCACCACACTGCCATTACGTGATAATACTTCTGAGTGCATAAAACCAACTCACATATATCAACCAGAAATGTAGACTATTGCTTAAACTACTATACGTAGCTAACCAGGTCTTAGTAGCTTATTTTAGCCCTCAAAACACTTATCTTTTATCCAGTACTGAAAAAAACTGAAAAGTACTAAAAGATTGAGAAGTATAGCCATTAATAAAACGAATAGTAACACCGCACTAGAAAAATGATAAAAAGAAAAACAGTGAGGAAAAAATATCTTGCTCTTTACCAAGATTTTTTGCTCTCAGCCAAAGTTAGCATAAAGGTAACGGCAAGAAGTTAATAAACGCAGAGCAACTTTTAAGCCTCATATAAACAGTCCTAAAAAGTTGACGATGGCAAAACCAGAAAAAATAGGAAATTTCCATAAGACTATGAATGACAACAGTAAATTAAGTAACAGGAACATTAAGGAAGTTTCGTAGTAGTACCTGAAGTTTTATGAGGAGCCGTGTTCTCCACATCCTTTGTTTCTTCAGTTTTTGGCATTAGAGACGATTCCTTTATACATCTGCAAAGCTGTACGACAGGTGAAGAAATAACATAAGGAATAAAATGATGAAACTGATGGAAAAACTTCGAAGACTGTTTTACAGATATAAGAAGCTTATAATGGTTATCAGATTTTGATACTTTTAGCAGACAAAGAAAAGATAATTTGCACAAATGTTGCGGTTCACAATTTTTTTTT